TACTTCATGGAGGCAGCCTCTTATATAATAAGAAAGTCCTAATTGTAAGCCAGCCCACATCACAGTGAGGCAAAATCCATCTCCCTCTGGGGCTGCAGATAATTAATTTCAGCTCTCTTGTACATGAAAGCAGTGCAAATAATGGAAGACAGCAACCACAACCCCCCTTATCTTGGTCTGGAGACTTCTCTCATTTCAGCTCTCAGACTGAGCTAAATATTTCCCCTGCTCTTCTAGGCCAGCAGATATTTGAACTCATTCAGCCTTACTCTCCCCTCTCACGCTCCCCTGATCATGTCCCAAGGAATAGATAACCATTTGTCAGATATGTTTCTGGGGGCTTCATTTCATGTATGGGCTGGACTCAATGGCCCTTAAGGTCTCTTCCAACTCTCAAATTCCATGATTTTTATCAATGGTTTTCATTCCTTTACCCATTTTGTTGCTATTCTCAAGACCCTTTCCAATTACCCCTGATTTTTGGTCTCAATATGCCCAACGATGAGCCAGAAATTCTGACAGAGTCTAGTAATGCGTGATTTGGATAGAGACGTCATAGCAGCATCTGCCATGGGGATGAGCTTAACTGGAATTCAAAGGTCTCTTTGGGGAGAAGTGTGTGAATAAAAATGGTGGAGGGGGACAATCAGTCCATCAGTCCACAAGCATTTTTCAGACTCCGCTAAGTGCCAGGCATAGTGCTGAGTATTGGGGATACAAAGAAAGGCAAAAACAGCGGCTGCCCTCAAGGAGCTCACAGTCTAATGGGGGAGACAACACGTACCTACGTAAACAGGTACATACAACATACATACAGAGTAAATGGAAGGTGCCCTTAGAAGGGAAGGTGCTAGCATCTGGGGGACCACGAAAGGCCTCCTGTGTAAGGTATGTCCCACCCCCTTAGGTATGTCCCACCCCATCTGATCTAGACAAACATGGGCTAGAGGTCAGAGACTGGATCTTGGAAATCACTGTTATCTTACCTAGTGTCCAGAACTGTGTTTTGCACATAGAAGGTATTCAATGAATACTCCTTTGAATGAATGAAATGCAAGTAGGGATTATTTCATTCTTTTTTATTCATATTCCCAACACCAACACAGTGTCTGGCACACAGTAAATACTTATTGGATGGTTGAAACCTAGAAAAATCTTGTTTCCATGACGCATCTCAGGAAATCATGAGACCCTGGGTCCGATGCTGCTTATAATTATGAGATCTGGAGGTGGGAGGAACCTTGGTGAGCAACCACTCATCTGAAAAAAGACCTGGGGGTTTTAAAGGATCACAAGCTCCAACATGAAATCAGCTGCGTAGCATGGTAGTCAAGAAACTCTAAGGTGATCTTGGGCTGCATTAAGGGAGGCATGGTGTGAAAGAATAAGGAGGTGATCTAGTCCCCTTGTTCTCTGCCCTAGTTGTAAAATAGCTAGAATCTTGTGTTTTTTTATTTATTTTTTTTTGGAGGCAGTCAGGGTTTAGTGACTTGCCCAGGGTCACACATCTAGTAAATGTCAGAGGCTAGGTTTGAACTCAGGTCCTCCTGACTCCAGGGCTAGTGCTCTATCCATTGTACCACTTAGCTGTCCCTTGTGCTCATTTTCATAAAAGACATCGATAAACTGAAAAGGGTACAGAGGAGGGCAACCTGGATGGTGAAGGGTCTCAAGTTGATGCCATATAAGAGAGTCTTTGAAGGGACCGGGGGCATTTAGTCTGGAGAAGACTCAGTGTGTGTGAGGGGGACCATCTTAGGGATCCTCAAACATTTGCAGAGCTATCAATTTGTTTTGCTTGACTATGCATACTTGTTACAAGAGGCGTGTTTTTCTTCTTTTCAAAGGGGGAGGGAGAGAAAATGAATATTCATTAATTGAAAAAAAATTAAAGTTTCATTAAAAAAAAATGGTTACACTTCTTCTATCAGGTCCCAGGGGACAGAACCAAGAGCAAAGAGAGGAAGGTGTGATGGTGCAAATGTAGCTTTGAATTTAGGATAAACTTTCTTACAATTAGAACAATCTTAAAGCTAAATGGCCTGCTTTGCTATTAGACTATGAGATGCTTAAGTGTTGGGATTGTGAGGGTTTTGTTGTTATTGTCCTTTTCCTTTTTTGCCTTTTGTTGTATCTCTAGAGTTTGAAAGCACAATATTCTGTATATAGTAGGTGCTTAATAAATGCTTGTTGACTTGACTTGGGAGGCAGCAGATTCCCCCTCACCTGAAGTCTTTAGGTAAAAGCTAGATCCTTTTTCAGGTGTGGGTTGGATCACATGACCTCTGACATTCCTTCTAATTCTGAAATCCTGAGACTGCCATCCATCTTGTCTACACCAAGCTACCTCCCTTCCTGGATCCTCCACCCCAAGAAGAGATTTTTTTTCCTTATCTTATTTCAAAACACTTATCCAACTCTAATTTGTATTCTAGCCATCTGATTACATGTCTAGTCATTCATTCTTTTTTTTTTTTTTTTGGTGAGGCAATTGGGGTTAAGTGATTTGCCTAGGGTCACACAGCTACTGAATGTTATGTGTCTGAGGCCAGATTTGAACTTAGGTCCTCCTGACTCCAGGGCCAGTGCTGCATCCACTGCACCCCCTATCTATGTATGCCCTCCAGTCATCCATTCTTACTACATTGTGTAAGATGTACTTACTACATTGAGCTCTGTGAGACCAGCAAATACGTTTCACTTATTTTTGTATCTCTTATGCCTAAGAGTTCATAAAATAGTTGTTGAATAAACAAAGAAATCTGTGAAGTCCTTCATTCAACTGAGATGGCCTAGAGGATAGAGTGCTGGATTTGGAGTCAGGAAGACCTGAGTTCAAATTGTACATCAGACACTTATTACCCGTGTGGCTCTGGGCAAGTGATAATAATGGCTCCTACCGCCCAAGGCTGTTTCAAGAATCAAATAAGATAGCAGATGTAAAATGTTTTGCACATCTTAAAATGTTTTATAAATGCTAATTATATTATTGTTGTTCAATCCAGATGCAGTACCTGAGTAGCTCACTCCACCAATCTCCAGTCCTTCTCCAGGTCATTATCTAGAGAAGGCCATGCTATGCTCACTTGCGAGGGCAGGGGGGCAGGTGCCTTATGTAAATCTTATGTCCCTTTTCCCAACAAGTACAATGAACTGTACACAAAATCATTTAATAAGTCCTTATGGATTGATTGATGAGACAGAGCGTTATGATGTCTGAAGATTACTCTGAGATTGACCAATGACTTTGGGTAGCCTGAGAAAACAGATTTCACTTAATTGTATGGCGATTCCCTTAATTCTGAGTGTGAATGGGCCAAGGGCAGTGGTGGGTAGGGAGGTGGGAGGAGTGGACAGAAGGCAAGGTGTGGAGTCAGAGCCCTTGGGTTCAAATCCTAACCAGCCACTCCCAGTGGGACTTTGTAATGATTCCATAGTTCCAATACGGCATACCTGAAAAGTAGTCATCCATCTCTTGCTTAAAGACTTCAGATGAGGGGGGACCTATGGCTGCCAGTCCCTTTCTTCTTAGCGTTGTTCTAGTTCTGAGAAAGTTTATCCTAAAATCACAGCTAAATTTGCCACTTCAAATTTAGAAGCATTTACTCTTAAATGCGTAGAACATTGCCTAGCCAATGCTCTTGTGCTCTGGGACCACACAGAACAAGTGTTATCACTTGCCTTGTGGACAAGTTATATGTCTTGCAGCAGCTAGGTGGTGCAGTAGATAGAGCACCGGTCCTGGAGTCAGGAGGATCTGAGTTCAAATCTGACCTCAGACACATAACACTCACTAGCTGTGTGACTCTGGGAAAGTCACTTATCCCTAATTGCCTCACCAAAAAACAAACAAATAAACACAAAATTAACTGGAAACTAAATAATCTAATTCTAAATAATTCAAAAAACAAATCTTAAAAAAATAATAATAAAGACAAGTTATATGTCTTCTCTGGGCCTCTGTTTCCATTTATTTTGTTTATGTTTTTAGATATACTTATAGATGAACTGTTGTTTCACCTGATAGAATGTAAACTCTAGGGGCAGCTAGGTGGCGCAGTGGATAAAGCACCAGCCCTGGAGTCAGGAGGTCCTGAGTTCAAATCTGACCTCAGACATATAACACTTACTAGCTGTGTGACCTTGGGCAAGTCACTTAACCCCATTGCCTAGCCCAAAAAACAAAGAAAAAAATAAAGAATGTAAGCTCCTTGAGGGCAGCGACTGTTTTATTTTTGTTTTTCTATTCCCAAGCCTTTAGTGCATAGTAGATACTTAATGCTGGATACTTCCTTAATAATGGTTGACTGAGTGATAGGTTGTTCTAAATGAGCTCAACCATCTCTTCTAGCTCTTAATCTTAGGGTCCTGGAGCCAACAGAGGCTTAATTAACTAAGGTCTCATTCCATGCAGATTTGCTACAAGGGCCTCTTCTTTCTTTTTCTTTTCAATGAGAGGAGGTGATGGGAAGGAGAAAAATGCTTGTTAATTAAAAAAAGAATTAAAGTTTCATTAAAAACTGGTTCTACTTGGTAGCAGGGTATAGAACTAAAAACAGTGAGTGGGAAGTAAGAAGAGGCAAATATAGCTTTGATTTTAGGATAGACTATTTAAATAGTAACAATAATAATAATAAAGAAAATTTATATAGCACCTACTGTGTGCCAGGCACAGTGATACTAATGATAATAGCTAACATTTATATAGCACTTACCATGTACCAGGCACTGTGCTAAGAGCTTTATAATTATTATCTCATTTGATCCTGGGAGGTAGGTGTTATTATTATCCCCATTTTACTAATGAGGAAACTGAGGCAAACTGACATGAAGTGACTTGCCCAGAGTCATCCAGCTAGTAAATGTCTGAGGCTATATTGGAACTCAGGTCTTCCTGACTCCAAGCCTAGCACTCTATCCACTACACCACATTTTTACAATCAGAACAATGGGAAAGGGTACATATGAGTATATCTGGGTATGTGTGTTAGTGTGAATACCTGACAAAGCTCTCCTCCATCCAGCAAATCGATGGCTTCTGCCTCTCAGAAGGGCCCGTTGGCTGATGAAGGGTCATCGTTGTCATATCTATGAGACCCATGGTTTGGAGGGATGGCCGGGAAAGGATTGAGTCTGCCAGAAAACAAAAGAAATAGTTGTCAATCATAAGACCCAGAACCCAGAGCCTAGAACCCAGAACCTAGAACGTATCCCAGGGAAGTGGTTGTGACCAAAGAACATTCTGCCTCCATAGGAGCTTTGCATTACAGGTGTTGAGCGCCTCAATAACAAAGGCGATGAACAATAATGATGATGACAGTAGTCACATTTACAAAATACATATGTTAGCATGTTTCTTCCTCAAAATAACCATGTGAGGTTACATCAGGGGATGACCATTTCACAGATGAGAAAACTGAGGATAAATTAATTATTTATGACCACACAGCCAATATCAAAGGCTGGATTTGAACCTAGGTCTTCTTGACTCAAGGTTGGACGCTCTGTCCATCATGCTTTTCTACCTCTCACAGCAATTGTCTGCCCCAATATTTTGCCCCCTTGCTCCTCACTCACCCCCACCCAGGTGTTGCCAAGGACCAGTTAATGAAAAAGGTGGCCTACCCTCTGGCCTCCAGCAGTTAAATAGATTTTTGAAAAAGAGTATGACACATCTTAATCGGACAAAGGTGCCTTTCTTGCCCCCTCTAAGTCCTTGGCTATTAATTAATTTAATAATTAATGCTGTAAAATGATTATTCAACACAGGTGGACAGAGAAGTCAAGGAGAATCAGCATCCTGATAAAGCTGAAGAAAAGATTTAATATTCTTTAGATTAAGGTCCAAGGATCACCCTCATCTCCTCCCCTCATCCTACGAGACAGGAACCAGGATGGAATTTTCTTGGCATCAGAACTGGATAGGTTTCAGTTAGGATGACCTCAAAATGGTCCTGGATGGGACATAGGAAAGAACATTCCATAGCAGAGTTATGCCAGATACCTCAGTTAGTTGGTGCTGGGTCAGCATTTGAAATAAAAAGCTTTAAATGATAGGTTTGGAACCCTTAAATGTTTTATGGGGGCAGACATTTAAGCATTTATGAGCTTCATTTATGTCCTATTAACCAATTAGTGGCAGTGGAGTTGAGTGGGCAGAAGATCTGGGCTCTTATCTCAGCTCTGACTCTTCGTTGCCTATGTCTAAAAGCACGTCACTTCACTATTCTGAATCTCAGTTTTCTCAGCTGTAAAATGGGGATAATGATACCTAGTACAGGGTTGGTATGAAGTTCAAATGAGATTTTATTTACATACATATATGTATATGTGTATATATATGTATACATATATAAAACGATAGATAGATATAACATATCTCTTAAACAAAGTGCTTACTCTTTATATAGTACTTTGTTAGGAATTGGGGGAGAGAAGGAAGGGAGGAGGGAATAAGCATTTCTATAGGGCTTAGTATGTGCCAGGCATTCGTTAAGCACTTTACAGACACTTTCATTAGATCCTCACAACAAACCTGCAAAGTAGGTGCTACAAAGAGATATGAAGTTCAGCTATGACACAGTTTCTGTCCTGCATGTCTAGAAGAGGGAAATGGGACACAAAGAGGTAACTGTAAGATACAATTCTTCAATTCCCCCATCCCCATCCGTTTCCCCAAACACAGAGTTCTGTACACAGCAGATGCTAAATAAATGTTTGTCAATGAATGTTAGAGAGGTAGGAAATGAAGAACCAGGTGAGGTCATGGGTGAAAGTAGATGGGAGGGCTTCATGAGGAAAGCAGCATTGAGCTGGTCTTTAAACAGTGACTAGAAATCCATCCAGTGAACAAGGGAGGGTATTCTCGGCATAGGGAACAAAACCCTATGGACATATTCAAAGGACAGAGTAATGTTTGATTGACCAATGCTCAGAGGGCATATGGGGGAATAATATGAGATGGGAACGGAAAATAGGGCAGTCCCAGATTGCGGAGGTCTTTGGATTCCAAGCAAATCCTTTTAACTTGTACATAGAAAACAATAGGGAGTCATGGGAGATTCTGAGTGGAGGAGTGACCTAAGGAAAAAGATTCTGGAAGCAGGATAACAGATGTATTGGAGGGGTGAAAGGGAAAGTGAGAGGACCTATTAGGAGTCTAGTCCAGTTGAGGGAATTGAGCTATAGCAGTGAGAACTGAATAAAGAAAGGATGAATGAAAAAGCATGTTTTAAGGACTTAAAGTTTGCCAAGCCCTATGCTAAGCAGGTACAAATATAAAAGCAAAAAGAGCACCTGCCCTCAGGGAGCTTACTTTCTTAATAAAAGAAATAAGTATCTAGAGGTGAGTGGTGGCTAGAATTGAGAAGGTAGGTCAGAAGAGGTAGGATCAAACAGGATTTGGAGACTGATTAGATAATACATCTAGGTGAAGGAAAGAAGTAAAAACAACAACATGGGCAGCTAGGTAGCACAGTGGATAGAGCATCTAGAAGACCCGTCCTGGAGTCAGGAGGACCTGAATTCAAGTCTGAGCTCAGACACTAACTGTGTGACCCTGGGCAAGTCACTTAACCGCATTGCCTCCAACACCAAAACAACCACAACAACAAATCCTTCAGTATGCTATCTAGGGTGAATAGTGGTGCCACAGACAAACACAGTGAAACGTGAACAAAGAAGTAGGTTTAGGGGGAAAGATGATTAGCTTGATTTTAGGCATGGTGAGTTTGAGGTGGAGATGTCCCGAAGGCCTCAGATGTTGGTGTGGAATTTAAAAGAGAGTTTACAATGGAGACATAAATTTGGGAGCCAGTGGCCCAAAGGCGACAGCCGAAGGCGTGGAAGCAAATGGGACTGCCAAAGGAGAACATATGGAAAGAGGAGCCAAGAAAAATGCTCTCCTTATGGGTGTCAGGATGAGGATGAGGAGTCAGGGGAGGAGGCAGAGGAATGTTCAGAGAGGTTGGAGGAAGATGAGGAGAATGTGACCTGTCAAAGCACCACCTTCAGCATCAGGGCTCCTTAACTGAGGAGTCTGGGAATTTGTTTTTTAAAAGATTTTGATAAGCATTTTTCAATCTAATTGGTATCCTTTGTAATCCAATGTATTTATTCATTTAAAAACTGAGAAAGGGTTTTACAGGCTTCACTAGACTGTCCAAGAAGTGCCTGATACCAAAAAAAACTCTCATCCTCCATGAAGCCTTTCCTGATCTCCACCACACAACCTCCCTCCATTTGTTCCATCTCCATTTATTTTGTATTTACTTATCTATGTACCTGTTATTTCCTTCATTATAATATGTGCTCTTTGAGATAAAGGATTATTTCATTGTCTGTCTTTGCAGCCCCAGCATCCAGCACAGTGCTTGGCACATAGGAGCTTAATAAATGCTTGTTAATTGAGTGACCCATTGATTTAATACCTCTCTCCAAGCCATAGAGTTTCAAGACCTTAGTGACTGTCTCTGCACTCATTCAATCCAGGATTATTGCCACTGTTTACCCTTCATATGCCCCCTTCAAATTTTCCAGTCTTTTTATAGCTTACATTTCCTCTCTCCATCCTACCCTCTTCCATGTCCACTTTGCTCCAATGACACTGGCTTCCTTGCTATTTCTTGAACAAGACACTGGCTCTTGGCTCCTAGCTTCTTCCCTGGCTGTCTGCCATGACTAGGATTCTCTCTCTTTTCATCTCTACCTCCTGACTTCCTTTAGGTTACAGCCAAAATCCCACCTTCTACAGGAAGACTCACTCTCCCAGCTCCTCTTAGTTCTCTCTGTTGATAATTTCCATTTTTTCCTGTATATGTCTTGTTTGCGTGTTATATCCTTCCATTAGACTGTGAGCTCCTCAAGGGCAGAAAGTGTCTTTTGCCTCTCTGTATCCCTGGCTTTTTGCACAGTGCCTGGAACACAATGGGAGTTTAATAAACGTTTATTGACTGATTGTTCCAAAAAAAGGTCTGTCCCAAGCCTCAGTTCACCTCTTCCCCCAGATCAAGAGGAAAAGGACAACCAGGAGAGATCTTATATTGCTGAACTAGATTTACTTCACCTGGCAGCATCTCTTTCCCTTGGGCTACACTTCTGTACAGGCAACAAACACTGGATTTGGAGTCAGAAGGGCAGAGTTCCAATCCTATCTCTCTTTTTTACCATAACCTTGGGTATGTTATTTCTTTTCTTTGAGCCTCAGTTTGCTCATCTGTAAAATGAATGGGTTGGATTCAATTCTAAAATCATTGATTTAGAGCTCAAAGGGACTTGAGAAGACATCTCATCTGACATCTTCATGATGAGCAAAATGAGTCCCTGACAGATAAGACAGCCTGCCCAAGGTCTGGGATGACCTTTATGGTCCCTTCGAACGTGAAATCTCATGATGCTAGCTAGGTCTGGAGCTGGAAAGGTTCCTAATGCTGCTGTGTATTTCATGCCTCACAACTGTTTCATTTGGAATTCAAGCTAGCCCTCGACCATTCAATGAGTCCATCTCCAACATGGTGCTTCATCCCTACCCCATGCTATGATCATCCCCCATGCAGAGTATGGCTCACTGGACATCTGTCCTTTTTGTTTCCCCCCTAGGGTGGTGATGGCTGCCTGTTTCAACAGAAGACTGGATGGCATGCAAGCATGCCCTAGCAGTGACTGGCAAAACAGCCTTATTTGAGTGGAAGTAATAGGCCAGATGGATAATATACGAAGGTCCCACCTGGTCCCTGATGTCCTTTTGCTCGCATTCAGTCCTACCCAGCTAGACACAGAATATTGCAATTTTTCAAGACTCTTGAGGGGTACGTGTCTGTGTGGGTGGGTGTGTGGGTAGGTGTACTGCTTTTACTACCAAATGAATTATTGATTTATATGACCACGATTGGTCACAAAGTAAAGATATGAGAATGTATCTCCTTCCCTTCTTTGAAGTGGAGGGGGAATTATGGATGTGGAATGCTGTATATATTGTTAGACTTGATTAATGTGTGTTGATTAGTTTAGCTAAATTGCTTTTTTCTGTCTTTTAAGAGATTCTTTGTTATGAGGGATGGTTCTTCGGGTAATGGTAGAGGAAAGATATGTCGGGGAATGAAGGTGACAAAAACAAAAGATATAAATGAAAAGTT